GCGCAGTCCCAGCCCTCACCCAGTTGGGTCCCACGCATCGCTGCGGCCTTCTGCCTGCATCCTAGTTTCCCGGGGGCTTCCGTTGCTCCCTATCAGGCCAACCAAGGTGCTGACTTAGCGATGCCGTATTCTGAACACTGATAGATCTTGGCTTTTGGCTTTTCCCAGAGGTTGCCATGCTCCTGCATACCTGAGATGCCCATTTCCACACAGTCGGCATGCTGGACTTGAATCTGTGCCAATTCAGTACATGAAAAATGATATAGGTTCCTAACCCCTTCCTATGTCCACTGCTGTCAACCACTTTTTTGTTTGTTTTTTTTTGTTTGTTTTTTTTGTTGTTTTTTTTTTTTTTTGCGGAACTGGGGATTGATCTCCCCAGCCCCTAATTTAACATGGATAATTTGTATCATGTAGGCGGTGGGCTTTTTTGTTTGTTTGTTTGTTTTTGCTTTTGTTTTTGGCAGAACGAGGGATTGAACTCAAGTCCTTGTGCTTGCCAGGCAAGCGCTTACTCAACTGAGCTGTCTCCCCGGCCCCCAACCACTGGTTTTTTATCTAATTTCCTTTTATGTGACTTGCCTCTTTGTGCTGTGTACTCATTTCATTGGGTGATTTTTTTCTCTATCAGTTTTTCAAAGCTCTTTAAGTAAACAGAGAAAGCAGCTCTTTGTTGTAAGTTTTTTCCTAACAGATTGTCACTTATTTGTCTTCTGCCTTTCATTGCAGAGGCTTTTGCAAGTTTGTGTGCAAGTGACATTTGTTTATATTTTCCAGGCTTGGTGCCTTGCAATGCCTTCTTGTGACTAAAAGACACAGCTCTTCTCATTTTTTCCAGCTTTCTTCTGTGTTCGTTTTTATATTTAGATGTTTAATCAAAATGAAATTTGTAGGAGGAAATTGAAATGGTATTTTTTATATGTGAAGTTTCTTAAATAACTGGGATCTGTCGCAGTATGTTCTTCCATTTCTTTATTCATATACTAGGTATTGTTTTAATAAAATAACTTCAAAATGTGATTTAGTGCAGCATAATACCTGCGACAATTCCTGGTACCCCCCCAAAAAAAAAACTATGATTTAATGCTGAGAAAGTAATCTTCCTCACCCTTCTTTATCAAATAATTTTGGTTATTCTTGGAAATTAATTTTTAGTATGGATTTAAAATTAATTTTACCCAATTGAAATATATTGTAGTTGTAGTTTACACTAGGTTTCCATATTAGGTCTGAAGTATTCACATTTTTATATTTTATTTTATATTTTATTTTAGTAAGGGT